TTTTTTTTTTTTTAAAATTTGCATTCATACCATATATGCCCTTACGACACCATGTACTGCAGAACATTGCCACAAACTTACTCCTTGAACTGGAGTCTTGTCATTACAAGATCTGGCAGCAGCAGATATGTAAATGGTTGTAGACATACTGTTGCTCTTCAGCAAAAGAGCAGTCCAGTGCAACAGTTATACTAATACAGACGGAAGTGTTGGAGCAGATTATTCTATCATCTTAATATTTATATAGGTATTACAACTTAGAGTGAACAAAGCACCACTTTTTTTTTTTTCCACATGTTTTTAACAAAATCTTGCAGTTAATATCTCATTAAACATGTGGGAAAAATCTTTCAGGCAATTGCTTTTGCTCAGACCTCATAATCAATAAATTTCTGTGGAGCAAAAGCTTTATCTAAATTTCACTAGTTAGTTTCCCTGCAATCCACAGTTCACTATCACCTTATGTACTAAGTGTACTTGCTACGTCTGATGTTCAGTGGTCATAGTTATAATCTTTCTCCCTGTATCTCTTTAGTCTGCCTTTTCAGCAGCAGCTCCTGCCATTACATGCTTTTCATTTAAGATGGTCTCTGTTTTGGTCAAGTGTATTTGCTTGCAACACAAGAACGTTTGCTCTCCTATCTTTAGGGTGGCAAAGAACAGAAAAGAAAAATGGCCTGAGGTTACTTGATTGAGCTCCTACATAGAAAACATAGCAGAAGAACATCTGTTATTAATTATCATAGAATCATAGAATCATAGAATCATAGAATGGTTTGGGTTGGAAGGGACCTTAAAGACCATCTAGTTCCAATCCCCCTGCCATGGGCAGGGACACCTTCCACTAGACCAGGTTTCTCAAAGCCCCATCCAACCTGGCCTTGAACACTTCCAGGGATGGGGCATCCACAACTTCTCTGGGCAACCTGTTCCAGTGCCTCACCACCCTCACAGTGAAGACTCATTAGCAGGACTCTTTGCAATGAAATCGCTTATAGCATTACGCACCTTTCAAAACATACAAATTGGGGTAGATGCCAGACTTATCTCCGGGACCTGCTGCACCTACTGAGTAGCTCTCAGACCACCTGGGATGGACTGTGGTGTCCTGCTGAGACCGCATTGTGCCTCTTTGCCCACAGAATTTGGACTCTGGCTGGCAAAAGTCCAGAAATCTGATAGTTTAATGCCCAAAGTTGTAGTCTGCTCTTCAGAGTAACGGCCACTGGGCACTGTCAAGTGAAGCTAACTTACCCAGTCTGGTTATCTCATCCTCTGTGTGTTTATTTGAATTTGTAAGGTGCTTCCTGAAAAAAAGCTTTTATGAGGGGTCTGTATATGTTGAACTATTCAGAGGCCTTGCAATGGTCCTCTTACAGTGCCATACTTTGCTGTCTCTGAACGCTCAGGAGAATGCACCCAACTATTCGAATATTTGTGAGTGGACTCTGTAACTGCACAAACATGAGTTCCAATTTAATTAAAAAATTTAGGGGAGCATTTATGAACAATATTTGCATGTTCTCCCATCCTCAGTCACAGCTTTGTCTGTATCATTGGTTTAGAGTAGCAGTTCAGACTAGCATAATAAATAATCCACAGTCACTGAATATGAGTTGTCACTGTGGACAGTTTACTTGGTTTTCTCAGCATTTAGAAATGGTATTTCTCACCTCCTCCACACAAGTCTTTTCACTGCCTTGCCAACTTCTTGAAGGGAAAAATAACTTCATTCTGGTTTGAGGTGTTTCAAAAGTTATGTGAGAAGAAGCTTAGCTGGTTTTTTTTGCAGGAACATTAGCTCAGGTATGTACCTCACTTCTAAATAAGCTACATTTCAGGAAGCATTTATGTAATCTCTGTACAGTGGGAATGTTCAGAAACATTCACATTTGAAAATGCTTTTGCACCAGTAGGTCTCAATAGCTATGTCTGTGTGAAAAGCTTAATCTTTGGCAAAGTCCAAAAAGCTGTTGCCATGCTTGGAGCAGAATTTATTTTGGCATCTAAAAGACGTTATGTGTCATGTTATACTATCTTAGTTTTCTGAAGTCCTTCTACAGTCAACAGTGTGCAAGTGAGAGATCCTTCCACTGAAGATGCCTGTGGAGATGTCTGTCTGCTGATTATAGAAGCAGCACCTGTAATCTAAGCATCTTCCAGTAGATGCTTAACTTTAAGACTTAGGAAGTTAGGTAAGATGAATCCTTCTGCTTACATTTACATATAAAGCTTCTGAAATGTGGATTCCCAGAACTTGACCTTTCAAGCTTAACTTGATATCTGAGCCAGTGACTAAAGCCAGACTCCCTGGCATTTCCCACTGTGCTGCCGGGGTGTGAAAAGGCGCAAGGAGTCACATCCAGAACAAGAACATCTACTTACCATGCTGTGTTCCTGTGGACATCAACACTGCAAATCAGCATTATGCAGACAAACTCTTCTCCTTAAAAGAATCACTTATGCTAATAATTTGTAGGCCTGCCTATCTTCAGCTTTCCACCTATTGAAAGCTGTTCTTTGTTGGTTTAAAATACAAATGTCATTTGCCTTCTCTCCATAGAGACGTCCGCAAGTGACTCTAGTCATCACAGTCAATGATGAGCTGCTGAAAGAGAAATCAGGATTGCAGATAAGTATTGATAGCTCAGCATCAGATCAATACCTTCACTACAGAAATTTAGAGTTCGGAGCACAGTCAACTCTCAAGTTTACTCATCCTGGATTTGATACGTCAGAGTTGGATAATTCCATTCAGGAGAAACACAGATATTGCAAAACTTCTATAAACCAAGCAATGAACTGAATTCCTTTTTGAAAAACCCGGTACACGGATTTCTGTAGAACACAGGAGCAGTGACAGGAAAGGCACGGCCTGGTGTTTCTGAGTTATACAAAACATAGTGCTGTGCCAAAGCAGTAGTGTTAGTGGCACATGAAAAACGATCAGTCTACAGTCCCAATAATACTCCACAAATAATTGGAAACTTTGTGCGTGAGTAGGATTTTGGAAGTCATATGAACATAAGAATTACCATATTTGATCAGACCCAAATCCTGCCTTGGTGAGCACCTTGTCTTTGGCACTTCCTATTCTCTTCCTTTGTTATTCTACTTGCATCTCAGTTATGTCCAGAATTCCCAGTAAAATCAAGACTCTACTGCCTAAGCATATGGTCAAAGCCATCCTCTGCCCCAAAGAATTTACAGTCTGAAATTGGGAGAATCTCCAAACTGTTGGAGCTTACCCTATTGCCATAAAATGAACTATCTTAAAAGTCCACTCTGGCAAAATATCTTAAGCATCTATTTAAGAGGTGCTGAGTGACCTCATTTAAACCAATCCTTAGGATTAGGCACAATGTTTGTTTAAAGTATTTTGAGATCCTGAGATATAAGCAGCTTTGGAAGTGCAAAGATTTTTTAACTGGCTTAATATGTTTTTGTGTTTATTTGTAGATGTAGAACTGACGCAGTATAAAATTTGACAGCTAAGACTAGTCATGAAATTTCTCCAGGAAAATAAAAACCTGTTTACAATTTGCTGACATTCATGAAAACCCCTAAATGCTTCCAAATCTGCTTCCAGGTATTCATATGCAAGAATTTGCAGACTTTTGCATTGCAAATATTAGCAAATGCTTTTTAAATAATGCTCGCTTTTCACACACCGTTTATATAAGAGCTTTCGGAGTAGCAGCAAATTGTAGTCCTATTAAATTTCAGTTCACCTTCACACTGGCACTTGTGCCAAAAATGGTTTTTGGGGGTATTTTATAGACAATCCAAGAGTACATGTCAACCATTAAGGACCTGAATATAAGGTTACAAATAAGAAAATACGCTAGTAATAATGAACGTGGCAAATCCTGTCTGCTTTACCCATGTAAATAATTCAGTCAGTTTTCTAATCACTTTATTTGAACACAGGAGACTGTGTATGCTATTTCACTGCCTTTTGAATTTCTCTACGTGTGAGGAGTGCAGCAAATAGAAAGAAAATAAACAATTCACTTTGGAGTCTTGAGTTAATTATCAACTTTAGATAACATTCTGTTTAAGGCAGCCATTGAATTTTTCAGGAATAATTTTTTTAAGACAGCAACTTTTAATTTTGCAATCTTAATACTTCTCTATGGGTTAATTTCTAGGGTACTCATCCTAGTTTAAATTTAGCCATCTGGAGAGTGTAAGCACAAGTGGGAAATGGAGAGAAAATTTTACCCTTTTTTCTTTCTCTTGTGTATAGCAAGTTTATCGAGCCTATCCTGGTGAGTCATGTCCAGCAGTTTCAATAATTTAGTCTCATTATTCATTAAGTCACTTGAGATTATAATGTTTTTTGATCATTTACAGTTTTGCTGTTTAACGGTTCTGCTGTCTTACCCTAAGGAGTGCAGAACTGGGCCAGGCAGGGAAATAGGAACATTTGCAGTTCGGTAATATAAAATGAATTCATCTGGAAGACTGACTGTTTCTCCTTATTTCCCCTCATTAGTACCCCTTTCACTCCCTTTTCCCCATCCTTTCCTTCTGAAATTGAGCTCCCAGTCGTATGGATCCCCAGGAGATTCAGTGAGGAGGAGGAGCAGCCCTGGCACCCCTGCGTACAGCTGGAATGGGATCCAGCTCCTGCATTCCGGCGCTCTCTTTGGGGACAGAGGAGGTGGCAATCACAGCCACCAGAACCAAAACGCACTGTTGCAAATATCTCCTGGCGGGTTATTGTTCACGCTTTCCTAAAAGTTTTACAACAGCTTGAAGCAGCCTGGACATAAAAAGTTTAGCTTTACTCCTCTGACCCTGGCTCTTTCTCTCCCACCTGCTCCCAGGATCTGCCTTCCCTTTGGGAATTTCCAGGAGGAATATGATAATAGGGGTTGCCTATGCTCTGTGTATGCACATAAAATGTCTCTTCATGTTACTGTAGGCCAAAAATCAAGGCTGTTGTCTGCTTTAATTTATGCCTCTTTCTCCTACAGCTAGAGTGAGGCTTCTCCTGAGCCTGAACCTACTGCAGTTTTGTGCCATCTGTGGCCACCTTTTGATCTGTTCTAAACCCAGTCATTCAGAGCAATGCAGTTGTGCCAAACAGATCCCCCAAATGCACTAGGAAGAGCAAGGAAATAACAAGAAAACCACCTCTGCTACTGCCTTGCAGAACCTCTTTTCCCAGCCCCCGTCATTTCTATAAACAACTTTCGATGAGGAAAGTGGGAATTTGGTGTGGAGAGTGGGAAGGAAATATCAGCTTGGAGGAGGCAAGGGAAACTGGGAAAAGCAGAAGCCTGGGAGGGGGGGTAGCAAACTGGAGCCGGGGGGAGACTAGCTCTGTCTGGAAAAATAGAGTACAGTGCTCCCTGTGGCTGAAGATGTGTCATCACTGCCAGTGGGCTTGGTGGCCCAGGCTGCCTTGCCAAAAACTGAGAGCACGCAGTTGCCTAAGGAGCATTGTTAAATGAATCTTATAATTTTCTCTATTTGTCCAAGGTATCTTGTTTATTGTCCGTTATTTCATCTCCGAGGGTCTCTTCCATGAGGGCTTGAAGGACACCTTAATTACCAGCAGCAGTAATGGGTGGCAGGGAGGTAGCAGCATGGGTCTCCTTTCCTGCCCTGCCATTTCTTCAGTTAAGGAAGTCACTTGTGCTTTCTTTCATCATTCCTCCTCCTCCTCTCTCCCTCCCCCGTGTCCCGACTCCCTGCCCTGATTCAAGAGCTTGAATGTCTGCTGGTGGTAGCTGTGGTGGCTGCAGGGAGGAGGGAATGGGGGAAAAAGCAGAGGGAGTAAAATAAGTGTCAAGGAATTCATTGTCTGTTCTCCACCTGTTGTTATTCTGGTCCCAATCAACCTGCTAGCCAGGCTGGAGCCAGTGGCCATCTGGAAACACTGCTCTGTTTATAAACTTGGCATGAAGCAGCACTCCTGGGCCCTGACCTCCCACACAAATCTGGAAACAATTAGAGCAAGATGATAGGCAGGCAGGCAGGGAGAGGAGGGGAGAGAAAAAGAGCGCGTGAGAGATGGAGGCTGCAGAGAAGGGAAAAAACAGACAGAGGGAAGGGGGGCATGGACAAGGTGGCAAATGTTTCTGAGATGCAAATATTTATGCCCACCTTAAATGACCGCTGGCTCATTAATTATTGCCCTTGCCAAAACAGCTTTTTTTTCATGAAGGCTAAGGCATGCCTCTTTGCCTCCTCCAGCAACACAGGTTTTCTAAATTATATTTTATGTTTTACGCTGCTAAAAGTTTGCCTTTACGATGCTTAGGAAATTAAGATGGGTCTGTTAGGCCCACATGCTCAGACCCATACACATTCTGTACTTGGTGGTATTGAAAACTGGAGTCCAAATATTGCAGCTCCCGCCCATCTCTACTAGGAGTAATGTCTTTCTCTGCTACTCGTACACCCCGGCACGCTGCTTTCCAGAAAGGACGTCTCTCAGTCTCCAGCTCTCCCGAGTGTGGGAGTCATTTGGGCTCAATTCTCTCAAGCCTTCTCTCGCCCCACCCTACCCACCCACTCTTATTGCAACTCATCATCGTCTTTACTGGGAAGGCTGTGCTTTTCCTGGTCAAACCAGACCTTCAGTCACCGGGTTACTCCCTAGCTCTTCTTCAGATTTTGGACCCTTTCCCAGCCCTGCTTTTGCTGTGCAGGTAGACAGCCTGCCCATCACCAGCCTGCTCCAGTGGAGCCTTGAGGATAGCAAGGAAGAGCCACAGGTCATCATGAAACAAAACCACGCGTTTCCCTTTCTGGATACCTGGTATGGGCAATCCTGTCCATGTTCTGGGTGGTTTTAATGTAGCTAATACAGATGCCAGTGTCTTAATTCACTTCTCAGAATGTGTCCTTTCAGTGTAAAAGCTGCAAGAGTGAGTCCTGGACAAGACGAGCTTGACATTCATTTCTGCTGGCCTGACTAAGGGGAAGATCCCTTTTGGCTCACCTGACAAATCTGTTGCTTACGCATCCTGAGAAGCCAAGTGTTGTGTTTCAGGTGCAATAAAACATGGCTCCTTCCTGGTGTGCGGAGCTGCTGGTGGTGACATTGATTTTCTACCAGAGTGCATCCAAACAGATCCCTGTGCTGGACCAGGTATGGCCCTGGACGGCCATGTTCAGGGCTGCAGCTGGGGCAGCAGGACCTGAGCCGGCGTAGCTGAGTGTGTGGTATAAACCCACACCTTTTCATTTCCTTGATTTTCTTCATCCACCAGCCTTAGGCCTGGACTAGTGTGCCGTGCTCATGAGGTTAAAACATTAAAGGTTTATCTGCCCTGTAATTCGGCCATAAAAAACTATAGTTCAAAATGCCCCAGGTAGATTTTTTTCCTTGACATAGGCTTCAATGGACTCGCCTCTGGTGTGTACATTAGGGCAGCCTTTGGCCCATTGGGTCTCACCAGAGTGAGTGGCTTGCCTCAGCTATTTTGTGCTGGCCACGATACAAGCATGGCCCAAGTAAGACCAAGACAACTGATAGTGCTTGTAATACCAGCAGCTGTGCAGAAAAGGAATGATCAGCTGCAAGATGAGGGCTGTTTGAATTTTACGGCGCCTAACAAGCGGTGTGTTATGCAGAGGTAGTTGTGGTTTGACAGGGGAACCGTTCTGCATGGTGTGGGAGGCACACAGGATCCACTCTGTGTCATGCTGTATACAGCATCTCCATTATCTAATGCTGATTTTTCCTCAAACGGTGAGCTATTACCATTGGATACACGCTTATAGTATCTGTGGTCTAGTCCTTTGGGGTGCTGGAAATCTTCTGAAAAGTGCTTAAAAGGACTTTTGCTCTCTGAGGGAGTTCAGTGGTTCAGACTCGTTAATCTGAATGAAATATTGCTATCATAATTAGTGCTAATTGGCAGCTTTGTTTGCAGCCTCATCAGAGCCAGTGATTAGCTAAACAGAATGAGGAGGCTATAAACGCGTGTCTATTCTATAGATAAATAAAGGACCTTAAGGTCAATTACTGCACTTTTCAGAGCGCTGTGTTCATGTACTGCCTCCTTCCCTTACCAGAAATTTGTGTTTCACAACACGTGGTTGCTTTTCTCAGATTTGCAGTAAGCATCAAGTTATTACGTTAATGTCTGGTGTGGCTATTCCTACATTGACCCACTCAGGAATGCATTTTGTTTTGACATGACCTTGGAACTTAAAGGAATACAAAATGCACAACATGTAGGCGTGTAAAAATAAATACAGGGAACCCACCAGACATGAATGGCAAGGAGGCTAGAAGCAATTCAGCCATAGGGCTAAGAAACAAATGGTTTCTTTATGTGGCTCTGGCTGTTCGGTAGCTGTACTTCAGAGCAATGTAATGGGTTTTAATGTTCATAAAAATGTTCAATCTGGTAAACCAATTTTTAGACTCTTACACAGTCTTGTTGAAATTGGATTCATTTGAACTGTAATATAAAATATTATGTTTACTTAACCCTTGTAAACTGATCTCCTTTGTCTTCAC